CCGCCCCCGCCCCCTGACTCCTGGAAGGCCTCAGATGTATAGCTGTGGACCTGCTGGCTGGCACAATGCACCAGGGCCCTCACATCAGTGAGATAGCCAGTTGGGAAGACAAGGGCAGTGGTGCCCAGGCTATCAGGGAAGGCCGGCTCAAGGACTCGAGCCCACCAGGAGCCCCTGCCATGGCCATTTTGTGCCCCCGCTGTAGCTGTACTTCCCCAGGCCTTCCTGGCTGCCTCCTTCCTTGCTGTACAATGGTTTCTTCCCATGGCCTCTGCCCAAAGTGATGACTCAGGATAATTCCACAGGCAGGGCAGGGCTCCTTCCTCCAGGCAGATTTGTTACCATGGGGACAGGTCTCAACTCCAGCCAGGGACAGGAAGAAGGATCCCAGCCTTCCCAGGCTCTCGCTCTTGCTCCATCCCGCCCACTCAGCCAACACAGATCAGACTCAGGAAACACAACGAGGCTGGCAGGTTCTCAAACAGCCGGTCACTGCTTTTAATCAGTTGATGAGATGAGGAAAACAGCAGGCTGGTGCCCCGCGTGGCTCGATGCCCACAGACGTCAGCTGCAGTCCATCTCGGGGTCATCCACATCCGTCTCAGCGGCACAGAGGTCATCCAGGGCAGACTCTGAGCCAAAACAGAAGAGGGTTCTACGGTGAAGGCCTGAAGGTGCTGGGGACTGGGGGAGGTCCCACCTCCCCTCCCCCCACGCCCGCAGGAACTAACCAGTCCCTTCCACGCCCAGGCCTTGCTCCCTCAGCTACTGCAAGCAAAGTGATACAAAGGCAATTCAGACAGGGATGTTTCTGGAAAAACCATGACTCGGCCAGGCCGACTCAACAGATAGGAGCAAAAGGCAGCCTGCTATGCTCAGAGAAGAATCGGGGCGGGAAGATAGGAACGACCCCAGTGCTGGCAAAGGCTGTGGCGGGCGGAGGGCTGCCGACCCGACGCAAGGCCGGGAAGTCTGACTCGTCCACGAACTTCAGGGAAAACCCGAGTGGGCCGGGGCAGGGTGGGGTCCTCCTGCCAGCTCACCTTCACAGTCTGTCACATCAGGAAGCCCTCGAATCAGCATGCTGACCCCTGGCATCACCTGGTCATACTGATGCAGGACCTCCACGCAGTGCACCGTGAAGAGCTTGTCCTTCTGGGACAGGCTGTGCAGCAGCAGCACCGTGTCCCGCAGACACCGCACTGTCCGCTTCTGCTGGTCAGTCCTTGGGGGTCCCCCTGCCCTCCGCACTGTCAGCCACTGTCTGTGCAGCATCACCGTGAGCGCCCTGACCACCTGGCGGGGCACAGACTGAGGTCAGGGCTCACAGTCCCTGCATCCTGACTCGCTCAGCTGGGCAGCCCTTCCCTAGCCACCCAGGTGCAGAGGGTTTTGAGTGATAGCACCAGGGGTAGAAGCAGCATGGGGTCCTTGCACCGGGCCGCCTCATCCACCAACAGAGCTGTCCACTGTCGCCCCCGCCCGCCTCTGGGCACTCACCTCCACGTTGCACTGGCAGTTGGAACCAGTCACTGGGGAAGAGGGGCTCTGCACACCAAGCTTAGCCAGGAGCCACACCGCCTAGAACAAGAGCAGACTGTTCCATCCGTGGCTGAACGAGACCCTGATCACAGCGAAGCCTTTCTCAGGATTCTACAAGAGCTCCAGTTGCCTTAGCAACTGCTTGTCTGCACAAATGGGGTCCAAGTGGTGGTGTTGTGGGGCCTTCCCAGACCAAACTCAGGACCAACACCTGTGTCTACCGGCAAGCCTACCGCCGGCCACCAGGCCCCTAAGTCGGGTCAGGACCAGTTATCTGGCAACTCTGCCAAGTCCCAGGACACCCTGGGGCCCACTGTATTGCCCCTGTGTAGTGTGGGGCGCCCAAATGAGTTTACCTTATTAGTGGCTAGAGAAACTCTTGCTACCAAAATGAATTAGAGGGAGAGAAAGTGGCTCTCGGGGTGGAGTGGGGTGGAGTAGTGAGCAGTCAGTCCAACAAGCTCTGACGTTTTTACCTCTTGCTCCAATTGAAGCCACTGTGTGTCCGAGGCCACCTTGTCAGGCCTTGATGTGATGTACATGTACAACAGCAGGAAGAGGCAGCCTTCTGGAGAGAATGCCCAGTTCTCACTCAGGGTCCCCCTCCTCACCCAGAGCCAGCACAGCTGCAGAAGCCCTCAGGAGGCCTCTGACTCGGCCCTGCCATCACCCTTCCCTCCGCCCTGCAGGAGCAGCCCAGGCGCCCGCCCCCTAACCGGCTTTACCGGAGTGGGTGCAGAGCTGAGGTGTGAGCGTCTCGTGGTCCACTAGGAGGGAGAGGAGCTCAACAGTTAGCAGCACACTGGGGAGAGGCGTCTCTGCCCTGAGGCACTGTGGCAGCAGTGGGAGCACACACTGGAACCTAAAACACAGAGGCCCAGAAGGATGTGGCACTTCTGACCCAACCCCACAAGTCACCTTCATTTCTCACTAGAGAGAACAGGAAATTCAAGCAAGCCAGCAGAAAGAGATGTGGTTCAGACAGACCTGGGTTCAAATGCCAGCCGACCACCTACTTTCACGTCAATGAGTGGGCACTGCCCTTCATTATGGGACTGCTGCAGCTTAGAGATGACAGGCCCTTACCTAGCACAGAGCCACCCAGTAAGTGGGGGTTGCACCCTTGGACCTGGGGTGCCTGGCCTCTACACTGCTCCTGGGCTCTTTCCTGCCTCTGCTCCCAGATAGGGAGGCAGATGTTAATTGAGTGAAATGTTTTGTTCCCACCACCAAAGGACTGGCCAGGCTCCGAAAGTGAAAAACTTGAACTTGGCTATGGTTGGATGTTATGAGACCACTCGCTGAGCAAGACCATTTTCTCTACTCGTCAGAAAACACTAGCCCTTCTGCCACCAATTATGAGAAGGTGCCCACTTGGGGTGTACGTGGAGCTCCGGGCACACTCTCTCCCAGGTCTCAGGGCAAAGAGATGGCTATCACCAAGGAACCAAGTCCCAAGATGACTGGTTTGTGCAGCCTGCACAGCCTCATGGGTGGGGAGGAGGCGGCTCTACCTCTGCGTCACGCCTCACGCATCTGCAGCGTTCCGTGCACAGCACTGAGGGTGAGGAACGTTCCTCAGGTCGCCGCTAGGGGGCAGGGTCTCACTACTTGGGGCGGACTCATTTTAGAGCAAATCCTGTCCAGCAGACAGGAAGCTGAATGCTTCCAGTTGCCATGGAGTCTGGAACATTGTGGGAAGCTGTCATTTTGTGGGAAACTAGTTAGAAGTGGCCCCTAACTAGTCCACTAAAGCCCCTGAAACTATCTGCACAAAACTCTCATCTTTATATACAACACAGTGTTTTCCAAATTGGTTTTTGATAGCATCAGAACCTCTTTTTAAATGAATTTTCTGCAGTGCCTCCAAACGCACAATAGATAAGTCACACTGCTCTGGCTGAAGTTGGGGATGAGACCTATTTGCTCCAAAGTCCTTGCCACCCTAGTACCTGCGGAACCACCCTGGACCTACGGCGACAGCAGATGCAGTGGCAAGACAAGGGTGTGAGGGGTGATGTGCCCTCAAGCCCTCTATGAGGCCGCAGCGTTGCGTACTGTTTTAGAGTCTTGCTGGCACCTGTCCCTAGCTTTTATGCCAAGGTGACTAAGAAGCTGTGTAGTGGGTTCAGCTTGCAGTATGAAGGAATTCCGAAGAGCAGAGTGGGAGGTGGCATCAGATGGTGACCAGGGGCAATGGCTCAGGAGCCTAACTGGTTCGAAACCCACCCAGCGTGCTCCATCGGAACTGACAAGTTTCCCTACCTCGGCACAGGATTTATCCACTCAGCGGACAGAGGCCCCCAGCGAGCCAAGCTCTGTGCTAGTGTGGGGGTGCAGGGCTCTGCAGATGTCACATGAGCTAGTGAACGGAAGGCACCTGGGTCTGGCCCGTGGTAAGCACCCATAAATGGCTATTTTTTTGATGTCCTGTGGACAGGTGAACAGGAGTAGAATGATGGTGTTTCTACCGAGAGAAATGGTGAAAATGTGGTTCCTGGAATTCATTCATTTAACAAATATGAAACAATCAGCCACTGGGCTGGGCTCTGGCCAGGCACCTGAGTGATGGTTCTGCGCCTACTATGCTGCCTGCACTCCACAGTGGCACTGGGTACCACCTTTAGGATGGACCAGATCAGCCAGATTACGTTCAGGCAGACCAGGATCTGGAAGTATTTTTAGAAACAGCTATCTGAGCTCAAAGGCGAAAAGTTATGTGCAGCCCGCAAAGCCCATTCCAACACAGGAACTGGCCGCTTGGTGGAGTTGGGTGTGGTTGTTCTGGACAAGCGGATGGGCTGGTGGTGTTTATAGGGTCTGCCAGTCTTGAGGCTCCGGGATCCCAAGTTAGGAACTTATGACAATGGTGTTCAATGAGCGAGGTTCACTATACACCCACTTCCAATAAACCTTAAGAGCAGCCAGTCACCTGCCGTTCGTGCCTGAGGGGCACACGATGACAAGCAGATTCCCAGCAAGGTCAGCTTGTGGGGGCTGCAGAGCCTCCCTACACCCGCTAGGAACCCCAAACTGAAACGTGGTTGTGATCCATGGTCTTCACCTGACCCATGCCCCAGGTTCAAAGGCCGCTTGGTTCAGCCTTTGTCTGTCCTGGGGCAGGACACTCTTCACGACGGCTGACAGCTCTCCTTTAACACGCGTGTTTTTTCTTACCTTCTGTACAGAGGTGGAATTAAGCCAAATAAACCACTTCCTTGCTTCTCCCAATACCTGGCCCCACTTCTCCTCACTTCAGAACTCCTTGAACAAAGCCTCAGAACCTAAACCAAGGCTTAGAACTGTGCAGTATAGAGAAGTCGAGATATGAGCAGAGTTCAAGGGCCACAGGATAGACCTCGAGTGGTCAGGTAAGACCCCCGGAGAATCATGACTCCCATGCTGCATTATACCTGGGCAAGAAATCAAGGGAAGCGTTTTCAGCTAATTTCACCAAAACCTTAAGGCACTGGCTGAGGATATTGGCTTGCAGATGACCTGTTGCTGCAGAAGAGAAAGCCAAGAGCTGAAGAAGAATCTTCAAGAGTGGATGCTGGCCTTGGTCATCGGCAAGCCCCTCTGGGGCTGAGGTCACATCCCCATGGGAAATCAGGCTCGGGTCTCCTTCCTGAACCGCAGAATCCACCCCGGCTCCTGACAGTAACAGGCAGATGACCGCTCCGCTGTGGCACACCAGGTGCTGGAGAATGCTGAGCGAAGCCACGGAGAAGCCTTCCAGGTTGCAGAGGGAGTCCTCGGGGCTGGTGTCTACCCCAGAGCTCATGCGGGAGGAATGTGTCGGTGAGTCCCCGGGCGCTCCGCTTCTCTTGGCTACGGCCAAATCCTGCAGAGCCTGGCAGTGTAAGCCAATAAAGAACTGCACCAGTGGGAGGAGATGCACAGCTCCAGGAAGCTGGCAGAGTGGGAAGGCCCTTCTGCCTCCCTCTGCTGGGTCTCTGTCACATGAGCCTTCATTCCTGGCAATCAGATTCAGTCCAGTAAGTGCCAGATTCTGTGCTTCTCTGAGGGCCGAGAGGGGAAATGACCCATCGCGAGAACCTGCGGTCCTCAGGCTTGAAATCCCAGTCAAAGTAGTAGCAACAAACACAAAAGAAAACACATAAATGTGAGATGGAGATAAGGTCAAGGGCCCCAAACAACTTGCTTGCCAAATTCTCTAGTTTCCCTGCCCAGCGCATAGGCCTCCCAGGCTGGCCAAGACCAGAAAGGGGCCTGCTTCTCGGAAACTTCTTCCTAAACCAGTTTTTTCAGAGTCTTATGCTTACCTGCCAAACAAGGTGCTGGTAGGAGCCTCAGAGCAACTGCTCAGGAGGTGGCACAGACCTAGAGGTGACCCTGGGATCAAAGGCTGCTTCAGGAGAAGGTTTATCAAAATGGAACCTGCAGAAAACAAGGTGACTCTAGAAGGTTCTGACATGGGAGGCCTTTTCTATGGCCTCAGAAGGAAAAAGTGAGGGTTCCTTGGATACCAACTGTCCTCTAAGCTGCCACTGAGCCACACTGAGACAGATAACTGTGGATGCTGAAGGCTCTGGGACATACCTGCTCTTGGCACATTCCATTTTACAGTCTTCTCCTTAAGTCACAACTACGACTTCACTGAACCCGCTAAAGGACTGCGTGGGGTGCTGGTGCTCAGAGACCGAGCCGGCTCCCCAGGCAACTCCACTGCAGCATCCCAGTGGACAGTCGGAGCCATGCAGGCCGCTTGCAGAAGGAGCAGGGATTCTGGTACCTTGAGTGTCTGACCTCTGCATCCAGCTGTCAACGAGACTTTTTGGGGGCTCTTCTTGCTTTCTGGGGTCGCCTCCCAGACTGTGGGTCTTATCCTCTGAAACTAGGTAAAATGTGAATCAAACTTGAGCTCAAAAGCATAGGCATATCAGAAACTCTTAAACGTAACAGGATTAAAATAGAGATTGTTCTGCTTTTTCAACTTTGGATCAAAACAAGAGCCATAGCAACCCAAGGACCCTCACATCTTTTGCCTTCCTCAAGTAAAACAGGAACTCGCACGAGGAAATGAAAGGAAAAGAAAATTAAGTTTGCTCCCTTTCGAAATGAGGCACTAGTACAAAAGCAGTAGCCACTAACATTTGTATGGTGCTTATTATGGCCCAGACACCATTCTAAGAGCTTTACACATTAGCTCATTTGCCCCTCACAGCACCCCTACGAGGGGACGGTATTATTAGCTCTGCTTTACTTACAGGAAAACTGAGGCACGAGGTTAAGGGATATGCCCAAATCACACAAGCCAGTGAGCAGTGTGAGTGGGACTCACGGCTAGGCTGGTGGTCTCCACCGCCTGCTTGTAACACTGCCTGGCACTGCTCCTGGAGTTGCCAGACTCTGAAAGTGCGAGTGGCTGCGGTTCTCAGAGGTGGCATGATGGCCGAGATTTAAAAAGGTGTCAGGAGAGAGGCAATAGATCTGAATTATAAGCAATCTGGCACAGCGCAGTCTCAGAGTGAAAACCTACTAAGGCTAGACTGTCTCTCTCTAGAAAGCAGTAGCATTCCTTCAGCCTGGATCAAGGCTGGGCTGTGAAAGGAACACACATACTAGCGCACAGCATACTAGCTGTGCTTCTGGCATGTCAGTGGACGCCGACCACGGAAGTTTGTGCCTGTAAATTCTTTGACACGCTTCTCTTCAAAAGATGCCGCCTACTTTCCTTTTCTTTGAATGTGGTCCAGACTCAGTGACTCACTTCTAACAAAGAGAATGGGCAGAAATGATACTATGTGATTTCTGGGCCAGGCCACAAAAAGGATAGCTTCCACCTGGCTCTCTGTGTTTGCTAGCTCTAGCGGAAGCTGGTCACCGGGTTATGTGATCAGCCAAGCAGCCCTGTGCAGAGGCCCATATTCAGAGAGGAATTCTGCTGCCAGCCACATGAGTGAGCCACCTGAAATTGATCGTCTAGCTCCAGACGAGCCTTCAGTGATTCCAGTCCCTACACAGACAAATCATCCTCACTGTGCCTTGTCAGAATCGCTGACTCACAGAAACCAGGGGAAAATAAATCCTTATTGTTGTTTCAAGCCACGAGCTTGGGTAATTCGTTATACAACAACAGATGACGGACAGACTGACTTACCCTCTCTGTCTACTGGGGCCTTGAATCCTGGCTCTGTCTG